CCTCCCAGAAAGAATATTCGGTGTTTCCTTGTACTCAGAATCATTCCTGGGTGAGCTGTTCCTGTTCTGTCTCTTTATCAGCATCAATTCACAGCTAGGGCTGACTGGGGTACCTGCTGCTCTTTCTCTGGTCTTTTCATCCCAGCACATGGTTCTCATTTTGTCTACAACCTCAAGGTACCAGTATATTCATCCTAAACATGTTCTCTCTCTCTTTCCTCTTTCTTTCATGCCTTTTCACCTTCTTTTTCTGTTTGTCTTTTTTCTATGATTTCTCCTCTTGAACATTATTTAAGTGCTCACTTAAATGAATGAATCAGAAATGATACCCACTGTCTGCCAGAAACTCTCTTGATTCACTATCTCTCCACTTGACATCTCCAGGGTCCTCATGGTACAGAGCCCTGCTGTTTTATATGTGCTTGTCCCAGAGCATCAAGCCCAAGGACTGGCAGACGGGCATTTATTAGACATTGAATGAATGCTTGACTGAGTATCTTCTTTGCACTCAACTCTACTTAGGTAACTTAAATCACATACGTGTACAATTTAAAAAAGTATATAAAATCTAAGTCGACTGAGATTAGGAAAGTTATGAACAAAAGTTTGGAAGTGACAAGCTGTGCTGTTTCCTTTGGACTGTAGAGTTCTTATAAGCATAAGCAGTTTACAATTACTTCAACTTCAGGGGGTCAGGCTAGTTTGGTTTCAGGGTACAGACCCCACACTTGAAATTTTTCCTTGACACCTGCACAAACAGTTTCAAGGGTTAATCAGGATCTTTTTCAAAATACAAATATATTAGTAATACTGTATTACCTGTCATTTATGTTTTAATAGGATTTATGTCAACCTGATTGATTTCTTTCTAATTCAACAAAAACTCTACAGAATGCTTTTGGTATTGCAGAGTGAATAAGATAGAGCTTCAATCCCAACAACTTGTAGCCAAAAGGGAACAAACTTGATGTGAGTTTGTTGTGTGCATGTACTTCTGTCTGTCTGTCCTCTGGATATTTTCTTAATGATGCCTTCTGATTTCGTCTGTTACCATTTGGTTCATTGGCTCCCTGTAAACTTTCCCCCCCTTGTTTTCTTAAGTTAATGTTGTCACTTATGCCAGGTCAGTTCTTCATGATGCTTGCTTTACTAAGCAAAGACCAAGGAGGGACACTTTACATTCAGAATGTGCTCTGCCATCTCTTTAGTTGATTTTCACTTGCACCTACTACACTAGAGACAAAGAATTTTTTTTTGAGTAAGAGGCAAAGAAAGAAGCTACATTTCATGCTTGAAGCCATGGCACTAGTCTGTAACCAGCCACCCTATCGTGAGCCGATACATAGCTCACAGACCTAGTCCTTCCAAAACCATCATCATGTTGAAGTCATAAAGTCAATCTTCAGTCCCTGTGGACATGTGTTTAATGAATGGTACACAAATTAACATAAGGTTTCCTTTTCCCTGTCTCTTAAATCTAGAATAGGAAAGGCAAAACAATTCTCATATATAATACTCCCAATATACAAATAAAATATGCTTAAATTTCTTCCCAGACTACATTTTAAAAATTTCACCTCAAAACACTGGTCATGAAATTAAGATAGGAATGTTGTATCAATGAGAGGAGAGCTTAGGCGTGAACCCTTAACCCAGCACACAGAGGCTGTGAAAACACTGCTGCTTATGGCTTTGTCTCTACTCTTTATTATCCAGCGGTTGGGTATGTTTCCTCTTTGACTTAAAAATTGTCAGAAAAAAAATATCTCATTTCCTCCAGAAGAAATAAACACAGGCAAAGGTCAGAGAGAAGCATTCCATGGAAGCTGTCCATAGTAGAGCAAAGTGCAAGGCAGGGAGCCTGAGCCAAAATGCCTGCCCGTTAGCAGTGAGGCTCAGGGCCATCTATCTCCACAAGTCTCCACTTTGCAAAGCAAAGGGAGACTCCAGTAGACCCTTCCCCTCCCTCTGCAGGGTCTTGCCTGGCATATGCACTAAATGCTGTATTTGAATTTCTTTTCTTTTAAAGATTTATTTATTTGTGCATACAGAACTGGGGTACAGGCCAGAGGCGCAGGAGCGGTGAGAGGATTCACCAGAGACAGAGTGGGGAGCAGAACAGGCACATCGACAAAGTACATTGCTGAGGGGAGCAGCGGGCGGGCCAGGAGTGGTCTGCGGCTCCATGTGGTCACCTCCGGGGCAGGTGGGGATCGAAATCATGCGGAAGTGGCTTTCAATTCTTAGCGCAGTGCTTTAACCCACTGTGATACCAGGGAGGGCCAAATTGGAATATTTTTTAACAAAATAGTCTGACCTCCCTGGGAAATGCTTTCAGAATCAAATGCAAACTCTCCAGTGAATCTCGTTTTTTGGGAACTGGTTTCCACCAGAAGGAAGGCTCTTCTTCTACCCTTCCCTACATTATTTCTCAATTGCGTCCACTTGATTCCCCTCATCTTACTGCCATTGCCATTACACTGCTCAGATTCTCACCATCTCCCCGCCCCACGCCCAGCCCCCCTAAATTTGCATCTCCTCACCCTCTATAATCCATCCTTCAGTGTCACTATATTTATTTTTTTCAAATACACATTGAGCATTTGTTGGTTTAAAGCCCATACGCAGCACTAAGCATGATTATGTAGCCTAAACCTACACTTCATTTGTTGTTGCTGTTGTTAATTAGTGCATTAGCCAAGGTAATATTTGGTGAGTGAAAAAGGAGTCAGAAACTTTAAGCTGTGGATAGGGTAGAGTTCAAAATGGAGAAGAGGAGATTGGGGATCCGATAAAAGTATCTCTTATGCACATTATATGTTACCAAAGGTGCCAGAGGTGTATAAAAATTTTAGAGGAGCAGCAAATGCTACTCATGAGGGAGAAAGTCACGTTAAAATTTTTAAAGTTAAACATCTGAAAAGCCTGTATTTGACTTCGGTACAGTCTGGTAACTAGAATGAGAACTTGAATCATTAAGGAAAGGCAGAAATCACATTTTATTTCTCATATTTCCTCACTACACATAGCCCAGTACCTTGCACATGATAGGCTTTGCAAGTTTATTTTTGCTGGTATAAGTTTTACATCATGAGATTAATTTTAAAATATGAATAGTATTAATTTCAACCAGTCTTCAAGAAAAGATGACCAGTAGAAACTACATAGGTGTTCTGAAATATCCTCATAGCCAAATTAAGAAAGTGAAAAAGTAAAGGGTAACTTAATTTTACTAATATCCTTTTTTTAAACCTACTTAAGTGCATATTACTAATTGGTGGAAGTCAATCTGAAAAGACTACATACTGTATTATTCTACTTGTATGATATTCTAGAAAAGGTAAATAAAAAGTATATTTTTAGGGCTGTGAAGATATGCTGCAGGATATTATAACAATGAATGCATGTCATTGCACTTTTATTGAAACCCACTATGAATGTACAGCACTAAAAGGAAGCCCTAAGGTGAACTATGAACTTCGGTTGTGATTGTGATATGTCAATGCAGATTACCAGTTCTTTGTGAAAGATCACCATCTTGGTGAGTGTTGTTGATAATGGGATTCTGCAAGATAGGGCTATGTGAATGTTCCTTTCATTTTCATTGGACACCTAAAACTACTCTTAAGAAGTCTCTAAGAACGAAACAAAAAGCAAACTCTTGTTGCCAAAATTATCACTGTATTAAGTAATTTAATTTAACCATATACTTTTTTGTCTTCAATGTTAAACAGATGCATTTATAACAGCTAACTACAGAATGGTACACACCCACAGTTTACCTATCTCTGTAACAGTCAGAGTGGATGGACATTATCTGTGCCATTAACAAATGTAACTGTTACCTCTTCTAGACTCTTATAGCAACTTGCCTGAAGAAAATCTGCGCTTCACTGAACCTGTGTCATGCACCATTCAGTAAAGCCCTTGGGACACTGGGGTTTGAAAGTCAATTGTGTGCTCAGCAACTATCATTCACTGAGTGAATGAACACCCAATGTCATGATTCATTGTTCCAAAATATTTTAGTTTTTTTCCTAAAATCTGGACATGTTCACAGAGCTTATGGCATATATGATCTTCTTATCATTCTGGTAAGAGGTGGGATGGGGTTGAAAATTGTGATGACTTTAGAAAAAGTAACCTCATGGATTATTCATTACCTAAAAGAAGAGAATAGGATTTGATAGTTTGTTATCATGCCATTTTTGATTGTTTTTAATTAAAATAACACCATTTTGATTTGGATAAATTTAAACTCACAATATAGTTTAGAAAGGGGCAGATTTCTCAAGATGGGTGAGTATTTTGGCTTGAAGTCTATTTTCTAAGGGGTCTGTGAAAATTGCTATCCTTTCATTTACGGGAAAGAAGAGTGGGGTTAAACCATTATTCATTAATTAAATCTCTAGTCCACATTATGGAGGATTAATAGAGTTTGCTTTTTCTTTTATATTATGCAAAACATTTGAAAGGTGAAACAATTTAAATGTAAAATGTTTAAACTGTCACTTCTTATTTTGATTTAATTTTATTGAATTGTCCTGAGAGTCTTATTTCAACAAACCCTTGTTATTACTTAAGAATGTCTAAGGTAATCACATGATCTTCAATTCAAGAGTCACATAATTGAAAGTTTAATAGAAACTCCAGAGAAGGGGGTCAAAGTTCATTTAAAGATAATTGCCCTTTTCTACACTGTGATAAAAAAAAATGCATGAAAATAATAGGGGGAAATTCAATGCATTTTGCATTAAACCATAAAAACAGGAACATTTAAAATATTCTGCAATGGTTAAAAATAATTTGTACTCTAATCCCAGTGACCATTTGCCAGGGAGAACCAAAGTTGAGAAAGTTCTATTAAAAACATGACTCAGAGGAAAAAGTGCAGGGGCTGGTAAAGAAGGAAATGATCTGATATCATTCCCAATTGGTTATTTCTAAGATCACATGTTCTGAGTATCTTTAAAAGGAACTGCACTCAAAAGGTTCCATCACACCTCCCTGAAAGCTGTAGCTTCTTTTTCACCTTGAAGAGTAATCCTCAAAAGCTCCCAAAATGTGTGATGCATTTGTAGGTACCTGGAAACTTCTCTCCAGTGAAAATTTTGATGATTACATGAAAGAAGTGGGTAAGGAAATGCGCTATATGATGACTGGATTTGTAACTCTTGCTTTGGGGATTTGGGGATTATGGCAGCTTTTCACTCTTTTAAGATTGTCCTGATATAAAATGCTGCTTTCTATATAGAAGATACAAATGTAACAAGTGTAAATAATTTTAAGGGGGCTGTAAACCCCATAACAAGTCTGTGTGATGCTAAAGTCATTGTAGACCACTGTGACATCTAATGCTTTCTAAAAGTGAACTGATATGGAAGAGTCCAAATGGAATTTTCAGAGTCTGCAGAAATGAAGAAATTTTACTTGCCTGCTAAACTTGGGGATCTTTGGTTTACTTGGTTCTTTGCCTGTTTTCCTTTTGCATATAAAATAAGCAATAATTTGGAAATAAAACCATTTGTATTTCTTAGCATGCAAAAATTTCTGCTATATTTTATCTTAAAGTAATTTTTAACGTATATGAACCAAGTATTTTATTGTTTCCCGATCACTCCAATAAAATGTGTCATTGCTTTATGGCAGACAAAAAAAATCTTAATTTCAGAAAGTGTGTTCATTTAGGGGATTAAGTATATTTCTGACTAGAAATTACAAGGAATGCCATAAAAGTACTAGTAATTCAAAAGGAGATTAATGGAAGCTTTCACTTTTTTAGAGACTGTTAATATTGCGATATGCTGTGTGAAAGTTCTCTAGAAAACTAGGGAGGTAAAGCAAAGGGGTAAGGAAGAAAGTTCTCACTCAGTCAGCTTCTGTTTTGAAAGCTTTACTTCCCACACCCATACATGTAATAAAATCCTACTCAGGAGTTGCAAATTGGAGAGGGTTTTCTACACAATATCGCTATTTGGAGATACAATTTAATCCTTAAATCTTGAGACTCAACTTTTTCTTAAATGATATAGTAGACATGTTTTACTTGCCGGTAAGTCCAATTTTCTTTTATTTCTTTCTTTTTCATATCCAAGAGAGAAATTGGGGACTTTTGCAAGAGACTTAACTTTCTAGAATATCAAGTAGTTGTGATTTAATGAACTTATGTATACTATATAGATATATCAGGATGAGGTTACTTAGCTATTTATTTTTAGAAACGTTTTATACTTTTAGTAATTATATTTAAATTCTTATACCAATGTGTTTTTAAGTTATGAAATGCTAATGCCAATGAAAAACATTAAGCTAACCTGCTGAAATAAGCTGCTATAATTTATGGTCTTTGGTAAATATTTCCTCCATCAGTCAAATAAGGACAGAACCAAGCAAATGAAGAATGTGGCTTTCCCTGAGGCTCATTATTCTAGAATCTCCCTCAATGCTGCTTCCACTCACTATGTTCATTTACTTGTTATGTTTTGTAATCAAGCCAGGGCTTAAAGCAACATATTGCCTCCATGCCTGTGGCTACTTTTCAGACAGAAACCTAAATCAGAGTTTAGGATTACTTAGTTTAACAAGTGTTCTTTCCCCTTTTTTCTCTACCTCTAACCTTTAGTCAAAGAAGTACCTTAAATTTGTATACTTGTATTGAACAATCTGCATATCTATGGCTGTCATAAGCTCCTCGTGATATTTACAGTAACAGCACTGTTGTCTGTATTAGTTATAAGTTATCCATCCTATATCTTACATATGAAAATTAGATTCTTCTTTAAAAAATGAGACTTGGCAGCTTAACTGGGAAGTAAACAATTTCTAAACTTACAACATAGTGATTCTTACATTTTGAAGTTTTTCACAATTAATGTGTAAACTCTCTAACATTTTTAATTTACTGAGATCATCACTGCTCTAAAATGGTTGGAATGTGGGAAACATTTTCAAAGAAATTAATCAAAATCTTCATTTCACTGTGAAGTAATTTGAAAAGCAGCCAAGAAGACTTGGCAGCAAAATACCATGAAGTGTGATTTGTATACAACCAAAATAGATTGTTTTTTTTAAGTGGGTAACTATATCCATACAAAACCCTATTGACAATTCTCTCTTTGACAGTGAAAAGATTGTGCTCACTATCTAGGACAGAAAGGTCAGGTGCTGCCCACCTTTCATGAACTGAGTAAAATGAGAATAGTTGCCCTAAATTAGACTGATATGGTTGATTAATTTGAGAGTTTATTCTGAAAGATTAAACTTGGTACAAATTCTCATGGAAAATTAAAAGTGGGATTCTTGAGGAGCCTAGAATAGGACCTAGAATGGGGAAAATGGAAGAATAAATCTACACCCAGTTGTGCCTCATGCGATTCTTTGACTCCTTACTCTCTCCCCTTCACTACAGGAGCTGCTTAAATGAGGCCTTTAAGATACCCACTAGTGTCTTTTTTTCTTTTATGCTCCCATGTATCCACCTACACACACACCAGCTCTGACTTAAGAAAGCGCCAGAGAATAGTAGCCTTGATGCTTTCTCCCTTTCCCATCTGTAGGTGTGGGCTTTGCCACCAGGAAGGTGGCTGGCATGGCCAAGCCCAATATGATCATCAGTGTGAATGGAGATGTGATCACCATTAAGTCTGAAAGCACCTTTAAAAATACTGAAATTTCCTTCAAACTGGGCCAAGAATTTGATGAAGTCACTGCAGATGACAGGAAAGTCAAGGTAAGTAATAAGGATTTGGAGCAGAGGAGAAACCTAGCTTTTACTTCATCATTAAATTTTATTTGTTCTTTTCTTGTATCATTGTTAATTCATGACTTATTTGATTTCTTTATTTGATTTCTCCCCTCAGGGGCCCTCCAATAGTCCTCCCACCACCAGGGCACCTGTGATCCATCTCTTTCATCCCTTATTCTCCTCCCTCTCCCTCCCTTGCTGTTTGCCTCAGATCTACGGTCATTAGCAAGTTTTGTCTTTTTCCTAACCTTCCATTTAGTTCTCTGTAGTTCACATATAAGTGAAACCATTCAATATTTATCTTTTTCCTTCTGACTTATTTCACATAGCACAATCCCTTCTAGCTCCATCCATGTTTCCACAAAAGGCATGAATGATTCCACCCCTAGGAATCTACCCAAAGGACACAAAAACACTAGTTCAAAAGGAAACCTGCACCCCCATGTTTACAGCAGCACTGTTTATAATAGTCAAGATATGGAAACAACCAAAATACCCCAAAACAAGTGAATGAATCAAGAAGAGGTGGTGAATATACACAATGGAATACTACTCAGAGATCAAAAATAGCCTGGCTTTTAAATGTCCACAACATATAAGAAAGTCACTTTATAAAAAGAGGAAATGCTTCTCATAGTCTAAATATCCCTGACCTCTGCTATCTAAACGTGGTTGTCTTCAATATTTTGGTGAATTTTCCCTTCTTAAAAAGTTGTACTTATGCTTTTTAAAAATTATTTACAAAATTTATTTCTCAAGCCATACATAGGATATTTGAAATGAATTAAAGAAATATAATGTTAAATAATTCTTATTAATAAAGTGGGGGGTCAAACAAGGGTAACACCTATTATATTTCCATTTAACATATTTATTATCTCTATCCCTTCAGTTTTTTTCCAAATGTATGTCTGTATAATATTCTGTTCATCATGTATGTGTGTATAATGTATATGTAGACACACACACACATATATATGTATATACACAACATAATATAATATATATATAATATATATAACATATATTACATTATATATATGGGGTTATATTGAGTTTGGTTCTTAGAAAATACTGAGAAGCAATCGAATGTTTATTTTCTGTTCAAAGAACTACAATTCAGGCCCTCCCTGGTGGTGCAACGGGTTAAAGCACAGCACTGTGAAGCGATCAGCAGCCACTGCAGCAAGAGTGGGCAGGGAGGTGACCGGCATGGTGCAGCAAACCTCTCCTGACCTACCCACTGCTCCCCTCAGCAGTGTACTTTGTCAATCTGCCTACTCTGCTACCCACTCTGTCTCTGATGAAGCCTCTCACTCCTTACATCTCTGGCCTGTACCCCAGTTCTATATGCATAAATAAATAAATCTTTAAAAAAAAAACTGCACTTCGGGGTGTGCAGTTTCAGGTAGAAAGCTAAAATGTGCTCCAAGAAGAGGTAGAAGTTGGGGGTTTATGGGCAAAAAAAGGGAAGATGAGGTAAATGTTTAAATCAGAGCTGATGAATGTTAACAGATTATTCTTTTAAAAAACTTTATTTACTGCACCATGTGGGTCACCTCCCTGCCCAGGGATTAAACTCATGCTGCAGTGGCTGCTGATCGCTTCACAGTGCTGTGCTTTAACCCGTTGCACCACCAGGGAGGGCCTGAATTGTAGTTCTTTGAACACAAAATAAATATTCGATTACTTCTCAGTATTTTCTAAAATGTTCTCCAAGAAGAGGTAGAAGTTGGGGGTTTATGGGCAAAAAAAGGGAAGATGAGGTGAACGTTTAAATCAGAGTTGATTAATGTTAACAACAGACAATTCTTTTAAAAAACTTTTTATTTACTTATTTGTAGAAGAACTGGGGTGTAGGTCAGAGGTGTGGGCATGAAAGGACTTATCAGAGACAGAGTGGGAAGCAGAAAAGGTAGATTTTACTGAAGTACACTGCCGGGGGAGCAGCAGGGGAGACAGGTGAGGTCTGCTGGACCACGTTAACTCCCTGGTCAGAGCTCCAACTCAGGATGTAGAGGTGATAGCACTGGACTTAACTGCTAGGCCATCAAGGAGGCCCACGCTCATACTATTCTTGACTATACATAATTGGTTACTGATTTTATCCTTTGGTAAAAAGTTCATAATTAGTTCTCCTGATAGATGACTTTTCAAACACTTGTCTCTCTGTGGAGTTTCTTAAAATAAATTGCTTTTCCATCCAGTCCATGGGTACCTTTGTACCAGTTCAAAGGTCTTTATTCCTGTTCAAATGATTTGGGCCATGCAATTTCTCTGAAATGGTTCCCAAGTTCCATTTTAAAAATGGCTTCACAGATGTCAACTTCTCATAATATATACACATAAAGGGATGACACACCAGCTATCACTAATTAGAGCAAAAAAATAAATAAATAACTCACAGCACAATAATTCTTCAACAACAGAAGACAATTAAGGGACATAAGATATGGACATGTGGTCATATGAAAAAGATGTAAGGTCCTTCCTGGTGGCTCAATGGGTTAAAGTGCAGCACTGTGAAGATATCCACAGCCACTGCGGCACAAGTTTGATCCCTAGCCAGGGAGCTGACCCACATGGTGTCGCAGACCTCCCCTGTCCCACAAGCTGCTCCCCTCAACAGTGTATTTCAGTCAGTCTGCCTGTTGTGCATCTTACTCTGTCTCGGGTGAATCCTCTTACCACCACCACCACTGGCCTGTACCCATTGTATGCATAAATAAATATATCTTGTATGCATAAATAAATATATCTTTTAAAAAAAGAGGTATATAAATATTTTTTGACAAGAAAAGTAAAAAAAAATAAGAGGGAAAATAGATTGCACATTATTTCCCATAAGACAGTGTTTTTGCTAAAAATGACATATAATTATATCTTATTCATTTGTAGAAATATGGACCAAAATGTTACCCGTATGTCTGAATTGAAGGCTTATGGAATTTCCCACTTTATGACTACTTTTGATTTTTTTAAAAAATGATCTCAATTACGTTATCATTCTACAAAGGCTTTTTTCTTTTTTTTTCAGATACAGGATACCACACATAATAATTTTAAATAAAAATAA